GAATGCATTCCCTACAGTTGGTTCACTTGCATTGCAGTGCTGAATGATTAATCTAAGCGAAAATTGGATTTGGATTGTATCCGTGCTCGAAGCATGTGTAGAAATTGAGGCGAAATAGATTGAATGTTGAGCAAAAATTGCGAAGAGAAAGCATCGCAATCGAAATCCATGCATATATCATGTTGAGACTCAAACTCAGGTCCGTTCCGTCTCTACTCCACCGTTTCGCACCCATCACGCCGTCTATCTCTCCCCTCCATGGGTTGATCGCTACACTCCTAGCTTCATCTATAAATCCTGTATTAATCCGTGCTTAGTATGTCAGTTCTGGGTCCTGTCCATCCACCATTTATTTATCCATCCACCCGTCCATTTATTCTGTATCTATACTGTGTGCATGCATTAGCAATCCCTTCATCAAACCATTTACAAATTTATCCTATGCTCATCCATCTTTACTTTGCCAATTCTACAAATATTTGCCAATTGATCCATCCAATCACCGTTTCGCCTTTTTTCACTGATCCATTTATTAATTTTATTTCCTTTTTTCATACACTTATTCCACGCCTCTTTGCGCTAGATCCGATTCAGTGACCGTAAAATCGCTCCACACTTCACCATCTAGCGACATCTACACCTGCAATCGGTCAAGGCCACTCGCGTCTATATAAGTAGCAGAAAATGTGAGCATTCTTCGTCAAAAGTCCAAAGATGAAGGGAACGTTACTCCTTTTCACTCTCTCCGTCATCCTGCTTGTTGCCTGGACCAACGCCAGACGCAGTCCAGTTTTCATTAAAAGGCACTTAAGGAATGCAAATGGTGAAGGTAATAATGGCAAGGACTCCTTCAGTCCAGTCTCGAAGAGTAGGAGGAAAGTGAGTAAGGGGAAAAGGGACGAGAAGAACGTGGAGAATTTAACAACAGTGAGTGGAGAGAGAGGAAGAAATGACATGATTAGAGGGGGCCCCACCCAGAGATGTGGAAATGGGGATAATGATGAATGCAATAGTCCTGACGGATCGTCGGTGAAGGGTGGCGATCGAAACATACAATTCTACCCCTTCCAGGCTCCCGTTTATCCGGATTAAGGAAAA